TATAATCTTAATTTATCTCATTTTAAATTCAGTTTTATTTTTTGTAATAGTTTAAGTATATGAATGACTTGTTTTAATGTGCAGAAGTAACACTTCTACACATTACCTTTCATCATATTAATATTATAATGTACATTCAAATACGCTTAGGCTGATGATACAGGGGGCAACTTTTTGAGCAATCGGGCAACCAGGTGAGACATAGGGCCCACGACCGATCTAAAGTATCCAGATAGAAATTTGTTACCCATTCTCAATGGGAAAGTGCCCAAGCAACATTGCTCAAAAAAAGTTGCCCCGTGTATCATCAGCCTTACAAGTCCTTTTTTACCCATTTTGTAGCCTGTTTTATTGGTTGGTTTTATTGGTACACAAAAAAAAGGTACACTGGGTTGTCCCTGGGGTGGTAGTGATATATACCATTTAGGTACTAATATGTACACTCCAGGTACGAATATTCGTACCTAAAGTGTGCATATTACTACCTAAATGATACCCTTTCAAAAGCACCTTTTAAAACGGTACTGCCCCAGTGACAGGTTTTGTACCCCCCAGTCTGCTGTAGGTCCATTAATCGTGACAGCAATCGCAAAAGCGTGCTCTGTTTTGTAGCCTAGCATGGGTCAATCACGGGGAGGGAGAAATACCGCAGGCAGGTCCACATTATTGAGCATTTCATTGCAAAATACCCCGAGGCGAGACCTTTCGTAGGAACTGTTTGAGATTGAAGGGCATTAACTCCAGACCAACGCTAATGCTTAGGCCAAATTGCTCAAGTCAGAGCCGGTCTTTTAAGTTTGTCCGCACCAGTACCCTAAATGATCTCAAAGAGGGTGGAAGTCTCTGAAAATGTCCCATAATTGCCGACTGATACGGATGACAGAGAGCAGGATATCATGGCTTAAAATGAGGCATGTAATAAGCTGGTATAATTTTTCTCAGACAGTCACTCACTCTCGCTCTCTTTGCGAGGGGAATTTATGTGCCTTTCTTGGCAAACCATGTGCTGCTGCAAGTATCATGTGGGTTACTGTTCATTTGTGCTAAAAAACCCTCATGGTACAGGGCTGAGGTTCCTCAAGCTGACAGAAAGAGGTTTACACAGTAGAGAGATCTGCTTAGACCTTCTAAAAGCAAGCTACTCTCATTTACGATGCACTTGCTGGAGGGAAAAAAAGGCTATTTTTTTAGCTTTATCAGCTCTTGGGATGCAAAATATGATCAATGGTAACTGACATGTTCCTGTGCTTTTGTTGCATTTGAGTGATTGCATCCTTTGAAATGTTAAACATATAATGCATTTAGATTTCATTATGGATGAGTGACTTTCTGCCATGTCTAAACATGGCAGATGCACTACATTGGTAAGGACATTTCGAGGTGAACATCAGTGGCTTCACAGAATCCACTGACAGCAGAAAACATTAGACGAGCAGCCCTTTCCTACCACTAATTAGAATAGACTTCCTCGGTAGAGTTATTATTCAGTCCCCCCCCCATTTAAAGCAGATCTAAAAACTGCCTTTTAAATGTACTAAGTCATGGCAGGTAATGGGTCACTCTTAGCTTTGATCACACTCCTGCGAGAGAAAGGAGCTACTGTACCAGGCGCAATTATCATCAAATACCTTTAACATGAAAGACAGGGATCTTACAGCTTAGATTTTTCTGCGAGTCAGATGAAAGCGCAGTTCATAACACCAATTCCCCCAAAAAAACTCTTTCATCATATGTGGAAAATCTTTTTTTCTGAGATTATTTGAAGTTTTGTAGACTCAAAAAAAATGTTTTCATCGATATAACATCATCCAAATAACGTATACTTAATCATTTCTGTTTACCAAAGTTTCAGAAATATTTTGAATGTAAGTTCAAAGCAGTTGAAAAAAGTGCAATGAACTTATCATTGCAAGGTGTATCGGCGGCACCACTTTGATTTGACTTAAAAATTCAAAGAAATTAGTTTTTTTTTCCAGATAGGGTTTCTGGGTGGTTGCTAGGTGTTTTCTTACTACTGGATACATTTAGGTTCTCCATTGTTAGTCTAAGTCGTTTTTTCATATTTTATAGTCTGCCAGGTAACAAATCACGATCGCATAGAAAAGTTAAAGCACACTTCTTTTCAAAAGGCCTCACATTTTGAGGTGTCTTTAGCACAAGTGGTACAGGTGAGTTATGTTCCAAAATATACAATAGCAAAAGTCTCTAATAATATTTGAATATAATTAAAGTTATTTAAGTGTAAAAGAATCAGCTGATTACAGTATGTTAGAAAATGGTGCATAAGTGCAACGTTAGTCTTGCATTTGTATATATTTCATAAGTACTTTCCTTGCTTCTACAGTTTTAATGGATGAGCTTACCATTCATTCATTAAACAACACTATTTTTGAATGGCCATAAGGAAAACGCTGATCTTTTCCACACTCTCTCTTGTTCTTCCCTTTACAGAGCTCTATATTTATACATCCCATAAAAGTGTTCATCAGCACAACTGGCAGCAGTCCAGCAGAGTCAGCATTTCACAAACATGCAATAACTACACCTTCAAAGTGTTTGCAGACTTATTTTATCCAATAAGAGTTGTATATTCGAGATTTCCTGTAGTGTGTCTTTCATAGCTCTCTCTGTCGATAATAACCACTGAATGAGCTCGCAGTCACCCCTTTCTTGGCAAACCATGTGCTGCTGCAAGTATCATGTGGGTTACTGTTCATTTGTGCTAAAAAACCCTCATGGTACAGGGCTGAGGTTCCTCAAGCTGACAGAAAGAGGTTTACACAGTAGAGAGATCTGCTTAGACCTTCTAAAAGCAAGCTACTCTCATTTACGATGCACTTGCTGGAGGGAAAAAAAGGCTATTTTTTTAGCTTTATCAGCTCTTGGGATGCAAAATATGATCAATGGTAACTGACATGTTCCTGTGCTTTTGTTGCATTTGAGTGATTGCATCCTTTGAAATGTTAAACATATAATGCATTTAGATTTCATTATGGATGAGTGACTTTCTGCCATGTCTAAACATGGCAGATGCACTACATTGGTAAGGACATTTCGAGGTGAACATCAGTGGCTTCACAGAATCCACTGACAGCAGAAAACATTAGACGAGCAGCCCTTTCCTACCACTAATTAGAATAGACTTCCTCGGTAGAGTTATTATTCAGTCCCCCCCCCATTTAAAGCAGATCTAAAAACTGCCTTTTAAATGTACTAAGTCATGGCAGGTAATGGGTCACTCTTAGCTTTGATCACACTCCTGCGAGAGAAAGGAGCTACTGTACCAGGCGCAATTATCATCAAATACCTTTAACATGAAAGACAGGGATCTTACAGCTCAGATTTTTCTGTGAGTCAAATGAAAGCGCAGTTCATAACACCAATTCCCCCCAAAAAACTCTTTCATCATATGTGGAAAATCTTTTTTTCTGAGATTATTTGAAGTTTTGTAGACTCAAAAAAAATGTTTTCATCGATATAACATCATCCAAATAACGTATACTTAATCATTTCTGTTTACCAAAGTTTCAGAAATATTTTGAATGTAAATTCAAAGCAGTTGAAAAAAGTGCAATGAACTTATCATTGCAAGGTGTATCGGCGGCACCACTTTGATTTGACTTAAAAATTCAAAGAAATTAAACTTTACATTTTAGTGGTTTTTTTATTTTTTTTTTATTTACTAATTTATTCTTCTTTTTGTGTTCATCCCTTGGTTTCTTTCATGGTTATGTTTTTTTTTGCTTTTTGTGTTTTTATGCACATTCCAGAATCTGTTTGCACACATTACATAGAATACAACCTAGACAAATATGCAATATTAGCTAATTATTTGAAATGTAATTTTTTATGAATGTACTGCAATATGATTATATAAATGTGTACTGATTGCTGTATAGCAGTCTATGTTAAAAATAGTTTGTTATTGTTTATAATTATTCATTGCATTTTAATTTACTAAAAATGGCTTAACTTTTGTGAAATTAGTGAAAAAAGAAATCACACTTGAAATGGAAGATCAGGTAAGGGAGCATTGCATTGTGGGAAATGGTATCCCATGCAATACTCCCTGCTGTACACTTCACACTTTGGCAAACACAGTTAAGAAATAAACTGTGCTAAGTATGCATACTGCATACCGCAAAAAATATTATTAGTAGTGTTAGTATTATGTTAGCTTTAAATCTGTGTTAATATGTAATGCTTATTCTGTCTGCTCAGAGCTATATATTATCATAATTAGCATTAACATATTCATAGTTTTATTAGCACTGTGATCTTTTGTAATCTTGTAATATTCAAAATTGGTAGAACAATATCGTCTTAATTGAGAAATATTGGCTCACTGTTGGGAATTCAATGTGGAGAGTATCAATTCTTTGATAGTTTCCAGTGTTCATAACGTTACTCATGTGCTTTCTTCAGTTTCAGTTAAATCCATTAAAAGTTGATTAAAAAGGGATAGTGTCAGAATGAAATATGTAGATTTGCACAGTAAAAAGCTAAAATATTCACTATTTATTATAAACTGTCATAAAAGTTTCTTTTCCATGTGAGACTTACTTCATATTCCCTGTTTTTCCAGTTTATTCAGATTTTACTCATTCTTTTTATTCAGATTTTCTATTCTTATTCACTCATGTTCTCATACAGCGCTGAATATTAATAAAGTTGTGGTGCCCACTTTTTATTTGGAATGACATGACAACAAAGGTTCTGTGATGTTCATTCTCATTAAGATTCACTGTAGCGTGAGGCTACATTTTCTTGTACCCAGGATGAAATATTACTGTATTAAATATATATTTAATTCAACTGTATTATGAAAAACAGGTTATTTTTGTTTACTAACCCCCATAATGAAATAAAACCTTCGATATCTTTGCAAATTTTGGTTCCAGATAGCGGCAAACATCCACACAAATGTCGACTTTATACTATTCAAGTTGAGCGAAGCTACGGTGGCACTATGCTTAACTGCCTACATTTCTCTCCTGCAGATATTAGTATTGGGAGATATTCTGGGAAATCCTTTTTAGAGTTTGAGGGCATTGAAGTCGGTGCTGCGTTCAGTGTCACAGTGAGATTCCTGACTGAATCCATGTATGGAACCCTGCTGTATTCAGCCAGTGCCATAAAAGGCATCTTCTTCGTCAAACTCTATGTTTCCAATGGAATGCTTCAGGTAATACTGCAAATGCATATACTTTTTTTTTTCAAAGCTATGTCATTACCTTTAGAAATCAAAGAATATGCACGAGGAATAATTAAATGGAAAATACTGATACATATTTTTCCCACACACTCCAGTATGACTTTTTATGCAACCAAAAGGAGGGAGCTCAGCGGATTAATACAGCACAGCAGGTTGCTGATGGAAATGAGCATGTGCTGCTTTTGAGGTAAGAGAATTTCTCCTCCAGTATCCAAATAGTTTGTGATCATAGAGATTAAAATGAATCAGATGTCAATTGTATAAGAAGAAATAGATGGCGAAACTGGTAGTTAATGTAAAGTCGCCTTTGGAGCTTATCTATAAGTTGAAATAGAACACAGAAAGTAATTAGAGTATAGAAAGGCTCTGTTGATAGTCAGTCATGATTAATTTATTCCACAAGAAAAAGCTTCCAATAACAGGATGACTGACGTGTGGCAGCCAATCAAATACCACTGAGATCCTAACAGAGACCTCAGTGCAGGTAATATACACATTATGTTATTCATTTACATGATGGGAAGTTTTTCTGTCCAGCTCTTATACAGTACTTACATTTGTTCAAGACTGTAAATGGGTGCAGTATAACCCCATAATTGTCAGGCCTGGGTATTTGGACTGAGAGCTGAATGATTGCTGAAAGGTCTTTGATGTTCGGAAGCACAATTCACACAGGTCCATTAGGTTAGTTTCTTTTCATCCAATTCAGTAGAAAGTAAAATGCACTGTAACAGTCATTGAAAGATTTGATCAGATTCTGAGTCTCTGAGAGACAACGCAGCCTCTTCACATCCAAACGCTTTAGCCGGCTCCCGATCTTGAGTGCATCAGCCTGTTTATGTCTGTTTTTCACAGAGATTTTGAAAAGCTTCCAAGATGCGCCAGCTGCACAAATCAGTCATTACTTTTGTGCCAACTAGCAAAAGACTTAGTGTGAAAGAGACTGAGTAGGGGGAAAAACAAGACTGAGTAGGGGGAAAAACAGGACTGAGTGACCATATCTTTAAAGGGGTCATATTATTCAAATCATAATTTCCTTGATCTTTTAAAATAGAGTTTGTTGTACTATGAAAACATACAGGTGAGAATTCACTAAACAGTTGTCACTTTTTTTTATACTGAATGTCGGGTCAAGAACCTGTCTTATTCACTAACTAGGCATAATGTGCACTGCCATAGGTGCTGTTCGTATTTAAAGGAAAATGCCTGGTTTAGTGCAAATTTAGCTCAATCAGTAATTGTTGATTGATAAAAGCTAATAAAAAATATTTTCAACTTATTTGTTATTTTCTTTAAAAATAAATAAATCAAATCAAATATAAATATTTATGTTAAAAATTTTGTTTTATTTAAAGGAGACATATTATGCCACTTTTTACAATATGTAATATAAGTCTCTGGTGTCCCCAGAATGTGTCTGTGAAGTTTCAGCTCAAAATACCTCACAGATCATTTATTGTATCATTTTGAATATGCCTATTTTGAGTGGAAGCAGAAATACGCAGTTTTTCGGGCCTGTCTCTTTAAATGCAAATGAGCTGCTGCTCCCCGCCCCCTTTTCCAGAATATAGCTGCACCATTACAGCTCGGACCTGCTAAAAAACATCTGTTGTGGTTCTGATTATCATGTTTATCGAGCTGAAATAATGCGTTTTAAACCATATTAGTTTAAACTTCGGTTTTATTCACATTGATCTAAATAGCAGACTTATTGAAAATGCATATTCAATGCCATAGAAATGTAAACATAGATGCCTCATTAGCGACTGTTTCTATGGGCCGCTATACATAAGCCGTCCACCACATTCGAAGTGATTATAGCACTTAAAACCTGGAAAAGTCAGATTTTCATGATATGTCACCTTTAAGATGTAATGTTCTCGTCATTTATTTGGTTTATTTGGTTTTAGGCATTGCATTGTCATAGTAAAGGAATTAAAATTGGATCTAACTTTTTTCGAACGACCTAGTATGAGAGCCTGTTCTAGTACACCCCCAAAACAAAATCAAGACTTTGTAAAAGAGCATAATAGTCATTAGTTTTAGTCAAGTTTTGTTGACAAATTAGTTAGATTTCTCTGTTGTGTTTGTTTTTAATTTCTTTGAATTGTAATTCAGTGTTTCCTCTTTCTGACATTCCAATTCATATTCTAATTAAATGTCCTGTGGGTCATGACCAATTCGATTCGAATTCAAGCTCATAAACTGAAAAGGATTCTTAAATTCTGAATTTTGCCCAACCGTGGTAAAGAGCATTTAAAATTCTTAAAGCCACAGTCGTACACAAAGCAGCCTGTTCAGTTCTGAGGTTCACAGAGAGGTTGGAGAATGGTCATGTAAAATTCCGTAACAACCAGTTTTGGTGCACAAAATGATATAAGTGGACCACAGGGAAAAATATAAAATGATTTTTTTTTTTTTTTTTTTTTAAGGTACAATTTAAGTTTCGCTCCCTTATTCATGTCTCACATGACAGAGTGAACCTGTGAAACAATTATAAAGGTCCATGCTGTGCTTTATTGTCGCCTTTAAAGCATTTCGAAGTAAAAGGAGCATTCTGTGTGTCCTGCTGGGGAACTGTCTGCTCAAAGACTCAATGGGACCAGTGGCTCTCTGGCGAGATGCCAGGCTGCTCTAGCGGAGCTCTTCTAAATTAACAGTCTCTCCGGCTGCTCCAGAGGGAGGACGTCCAGGGCCTGGTGGTCGTTCCTCCTGAGGTGTGGAGCAAATCAAGAGAAAAACTCCACAGCCTGTGAATTACAGGCTTAACAAATCAGTCAGGATTGGCTTCTCTGAACTTCAGAAGATGGGGAGACGGATATCAAGGCTGGGGGGGATACTGCCATTATGAGCTGAGCATCTGTAGGCCAATCCTCCAGCTGCACATAGTTATCCCAGAATCCACACTGAGGTAATTATCTTTCCTCCCCTGTTGTTTGGAAGGGCAGAATAAGCTTTGGAAAACTCCCAAGGCTTGGGTACATCTCCGGAACAGTCTGTCCAAGACGCATAAGATGTCTTTAAAAGGAAGAGGGGAAATAATTAGCCGCAGGTGAAAGACGCCCTTGAGCAGAGCAAATCATTTGTTTTATTTAGTGGATTTTTTTTCCACAATTTTAATTAGCTTTTAACTGTCAATGAAACAGTTTACAGTTGTTTTTAAGCTGTGTCTGATGCATTATGGTATATGCTACTGTTTAAAACAAGATTAAATCATTTGCACACATGGTATGGCCTTAGACTGTTAGTTCTAGTTGAAAGCTACGATAACCATGATATTTTAAATGCTGTACTGGCTAATGAATTCACTGTAGACCCTTTTTCTTTCTCAGTGCCTTCCTGTATCTCATGTATCCATGGAAACAACACAGTCATTATGAGTCATTCACCATAACCTGTTTTTGGTCTGAATATTAAAAAAGTGGAAAATAATAACCGATAAAGCGGGCATTAGCAGTGCTTAGCTTTTAAAGTAATTGTGTTCTACTTTAGGCATAGCAAATGTATCTTATTAACATAAGCTGAATTGCCTTAAAAGACGCCTGTGGTGTTAAGACTAAAGATCATTAATTGAGTGCATTTACCACCATTAGGTGAAGAGATACAAGAAACAGGGACCTGAAATGTTGATTTATAACAAGACAGAGACCATTTTGTCCACATGCATATCACACTGTTCTTTATTTTGTTTTTATCTTTGTTTTCCACAGACAGTATCTTTCTCCGTGTGCAGCTGAAGTCACTATTTCAGGCTTTAGGACTGTCAGAAGCATTCCAAGCAATTTCACAACAGTCATGAGTTTACAGAGAACTGACAGTCTCTTCATAGGAGGACTTCCTCTTCTGTATCCACCTTATAAAGTAAGAGTTACTTATATGTTATTTTTAAAGGGTCACATCCTGAGTAAAAGGTCATATAATGTAAACTACCATTCAAGTAAAGTAACCATTCATGCCAGTAAAGACATTTATAATGTAACAAAAGATTTCTATTTCAAATAAATTTACAACATCGATAATAAGAAGAAATGTTTCTTTTTTTATGTTTTGGGGGGGGGAAAGGTGTTTTAATTGGTAAATTATGATAGCTATCACAATTATATATATATAATTTTTTTTTAACCTGACATTAATTTTTTACTATATAATTCCACCTTGAAATTGGAGAACTAGAGTTAACACTATCTTTAGTGTTAAGATAGTGACATTACACTTTGCTAATGACTGGAAAGTTTGAAAAGTCACTATAATTCTTAGGCCAGCTGGGAACTCTGATTATAATGTGGAAACAAGGAAAGATTGATGGTTTGCCTTTGTCATGTTACACAATGACCTGACCAGTTACCGCAGAGACACATCCGACTCAAATTGGATTAAAATGGACATGAATTTTCCTGTAATTTTCAGGTTACTAAAAACTGGTTCAGAGGGCTTCAAAGAACTGTCAAGGTCTACATATTGACAGTGATAAAGCCCTGAGAAACTAGCAGGCACACTTTTCATTTTCCTTCAGGCGGCTGGAAGCAGGTCACGGGCACTTGAGATACTGTTAGGAGAAGAAAAAGGAGAGGTTGAGATGTCTTCGCCTAGACAACAAAGATTGGATCCATATGCTTTTTTCTCTTTTCATAGCGCTGATAATGAAATAGGTTTTTTTTTTTTTTTTTTTTTTGTCATCAATGCAGTTTTATCCTACTGGTAATGTTGTTTGAGCCATTTCTGTCTTATCTGAATAATCTTTATTGCCTTTAAAACTATTCAGTAGCATTTGTGGCATTTATAAATATATGTTTATTAAGTGAAAGTGTCATTGTATTAATAAATATGCACGTTCCTTTATCAATTTTAAACAGATGCTAATGCTATTAAATGTTTTATGTAACACAAAAGGTGACATTTTTGAAGAGTCATTATGCAGCTTGTGACATACAACAACAGCCTGTTCAAAAAACAAAAAAAGGCAAAAGTGAAAATTGAATCTGTGAATAACTAAAATGCAAGTATTTTCATCACACAAAGCATTGCATTGTGTCAAGACTTAGAATGTAGTGCACAAGTCATGTGAACTACTTTTGTTGATGTGTGTTTTGTCCTTGAGAGCCCTTGGTCACTATGAATTGTTGTATGGAAAGTTCCCTTTCAGTCGGTCACTCTCGACGTCACGTCGGATGACCGACGAAATTGGGATCTCGCTTAGAGAGACCAATCTACTTCGAGTGTAAACTAAACGAGCC